GTTCCTTCATACACATGCGCGCTTCATGTAGGCACCCTAGAGCAAGATAAATGGAGTTCGAAGCGCGCGACCGCTATCTGAACCTCCTCTCCTGTGCATCTCTCCGGCCTCCCACCCTTTTCATCATTTGCGTCTGGCCAAATACTTTACTAGGGGGAACACATTCCACTCCGCTCATTTGCATTAGACAGAACGCCTACAGCGCCGAATCCAGCCCTGACGGAGGAAAAATCCACGCCGAGTCCTTTTTTTTTTTTTTTTTTTTTTGAAAATAAGCTATCATCATCATCAGTCGCAGACATTTCACGACTACGCGACGCCGGCGGTCGGTGCGCCAGTGCAAGCCAGTGTCTCGAGGCGTGAAACAACGTCAAATGTGTTGCGTGGTGTTTTCGTTTGATACTTTTTCGAAACGATGCACACGATATACCCCGTGCTTCAGCAAATATTAGTTTAGTTTAGGTTTCTGAATTTGGCTTTTAGAAAGAAAAAATCTCCCCAATTATGTGTATCTTGCCGTTTTGCGTTCAAGATACAATCTGTAATTTTATGTATATTGCGTATGTTATTTCAGTGATGTGCGCCACTAGTATGCTGTAGTTTTGGAATTTGTACCCTCTAAACGAGGAAACACTATTGTTCTTTCTTTTAAGGCACTACCGGCTGTTGGTCAGCAAAGCATTTTGTCTTTAGACCGTATAGTTTTTAGCCTTCATTCATTTGGCTCTAGAGAGCCGCGGCACCGCGGAAAGGCAGCAGCCCGTACCATGGGGGCCCGCGGTGCAGCGTCTAGTAACCATGATAATGTGATGAGTATATACATGCATGATGACGACGACATGGATTGTTGGTATCGGGGAGAATGGCAGTCCCATTCGCAGAAGTCCCGATTTCGTGGAGGTGGGTTGGGCGGGTGAGCATCGAGTTATGGGTATCTGGCACGCCGTTCGATCGGTGCATGGAGGAGCCTCAGGAACATGATGGCGCTGTTGCTCACTGGAGTCCACTGGGGTCGAAGCATCAGGCTCCAAGGAGGTAGCCCAGTCAAAGTAGAAGCTGCCGCTTCTGAGGAACCAGGGCTCAGATTGAGGCACCACCGTCGCCCGGTGCGTCATTCTCTCAACGTCGTCGTCGCATATGTTCTTTCTTTATTTATTCGCGTATATATGTGTAAATAAAATAAGATAGATAAAAAGACGCACAATCGAACGGCCAGCGGCGCGCCGTTCTAGTTATATTTCTAGTTATACACGCCTGAATGAATTTTGTTCAATTCTTGTCTGTAACCGAGCTAAAACTTTACGTATACAGCCTACAGGCAAATTCAAAGCAAAATGTATACAATGCAAGTGTTTCTGACCTACATAACAAGAGCTTATATTTGAAATCCAGGGCACAAATTTTTGATTGTAAGCATCTAATTATTATATAGTCATATTATAACCGCCACATTCTTAGTCATTATGCTGTCACAAACGTATCGTACAAATCGTTTTTTGGTTAAGCCTATGTAAAGGTAGCTTGGCCGCAAGCTTCTTGGTGCACGGCGGTGTGCTAACTTTACAGGGGCAAAAAGCGGGCCGATTTTGAAGGTCTCGAGGAATAAAAAGTATTAATTAAAATACCGAAATTTTAACTGCGGTGTGTGCTATGAGTCGGCAGCTATTATATTCCTCGGGAACTTTACGATTTTTCATTTCAGTGAGAATAAATTAAAAATTTTGTCAAAGTGGCCCTAATGATCCCAATGCAACAATATTATATCGGGCCGAGGAATAGAAAGTATACAATCCTGAGAGGTTCAAGTGGGTATTAAATAAGATTGTATTAGTGCCCTCTATAGATATCCCGGGGAACTTAAGGATTTCTGTAGTAGTTTGGTTGAAATTATCATTTTACTGCGTTTTGCTGAAAATAGCCAAGAGAGGGCTCAAGGCGACTGTGTCCAGGAATGCTGGGGATGCTTGGTGCGGAGCGCCATGCTGTGACGTCATCACTTACGGGGTCAATTACGGAACTGCCCATAGGCGCTACTTCCACGACTAGTACCCCCATCTCGACCCATGGCTCGTCTCCCGTCGTTTGACGCGACACCGTTTTGGGGGGACGGCTGCTATGGTAACTGTGGAGTATTCTGTGGAATACGTATGTTTCGAAGTACAGCGTCTAGATGGCGTTTCACCACACTCTATGGCAGTGGTTCTTAAATGGGGGTTCGCTGACCCTTAGGGGTTCCTGAAGGCCTTCTTTGTCACCGAAGTGCTCGACTGTTAATCAGCCGAGCAATAAAAGCTTTTTTATTTTTTTATTTTTTAATTGATGCAGGCTGTCCCTTAAATCGACCAAACCATGTGTGCCATGTTTGATAATTTCAGTTTCAGAGCTTCAAAGTTGGTTTGCACACAGTTAGATTTCTTCGTTTAGCACTTTGTAGTCGTCCAATAGCAAAATGACGTACAGTAAAATGACGCTTAGAGCAAAGTAGGCCCGTGCAGACTGCACGGGCCTACTTTGCTCTAAACGTCATCGTGCTGAAACGTTTACCCGTACTCACGCGGTGAACCTTCGAAGTCACGCGGTGAACTTTCGAAAGCTTACACAAATATAAAAGACATTTTATCTTTGAAAGCCAAAAAACGCTTTTTTTTTTTCTTCATGAGTTCCAAAAGGAAAGAGAATAAAAATCGTACTGTCCCCTGTGACCGGATCGCCCTCGTTTTCCTGCTTGCTGACAGCTAATTTCAAATCTAAACGACCAATGCGTTAGCATTTTCTTCTCAATGTTTTAGAAAGTGTGCTACACCTATACGCGAGCCAGGTCCGGACCCGGAAGGAAACCGTGCTACCCGGTCCGCGCCCAGCCCGGGCCCGGAAACAATCTGTGCTAACTGGACCAGGCCCGGCCCTTTCCAGAGCTCTAATAACGCTCCATAGCGTTCTTGGTGCGACTGATTTAGAAATTAGAATAACCCTTTTGAAGCTTCGAAGATTTCAAAGGTCCGAAATGGCAATTGCCATGAAGAAACTGATCCGCCCATCGCCTTGCGAGATTTATGTTGTCTGTATATGCTAGTATCTGTTTTGTGTCCTGGTAGCAGACAGGGAAGGCAATGGCGCTAATTTCTCAGCAACCAGACCAAAAGAGAGTGGTGTTGCGAATGCCGGATGGTCATTGAGCGTTGGCCGTGCTTTAGAGTGGTGGGTACATCCGAGAATTCCGGTCGCTGATAAAGAAGACGGCAAGATCGGCAAGGACCTCAAGACTTCGCCCCCGCCATCCCAAGAACGCTGACGAGGCGCGGAAGCAAACAGACACACGTTTATCAGTCGACACGCCCTTATCAGCAAGCACGCAAATATGTGCTCTTTTACTCGAACTGCTCTCTGACGCGGCGAAAGCGTAGATAAAACCGACCGAATGTCGACCTTCTTTCTTTTTTTCTTTTTATTATAATACTGCGTAAGCATCTGAGTCTAAGCAGAAGTGAACATAAAGACACAGAGAAAAACATTATAAGAACAGCAATACAACAAGACACACAAATAATACATCCCTGCCGGGCAAGGATCAAGTTCATCAGAGAGTTTTCACGACGGCGCAATTCTCAAATTTGTAATTAATGTTTCTATAGTTGAGCTATCAACAATAACCTTTGACAACTGATTTCGTGCATGTAGTTATTGTCCTGGGGGAAAAAAAAACAAAAAAAAACGAACATTTATATGCATCTTTAGCTGCATGAAACTCACCGATAATTCGTTTTCGTTGTTAAAACGAGTATCTGCTCGCGACACTGAGTGATGCAAACCGTGTGATTTATTTGAGTTAAACCATCGTATATCATCCACAAACACTTCATCCTCTTTTCTAAGCGCCCAAGCATTTCAAGATCTAGTAAATTAATCATATCAGTCACGCAGTCCTTTCTTCTATACCGACTGCAGATAAACCCCAAGCTGCAATTCTCTGTACTATTTCGATCTTGGATATGTTTGTGACTGCGCAGGGGGTCCAATAGACAGGAACCGTACTTTAGGCAAGGTCTGACCAAGAGTTTGTAAGCAGCAAGCTTTACTTGCACTTCATTGCCTGTTGAAGGCTTTCGTCAGATCACCCAAAGGGCCATAAGAGCACTGGAACAAACGTTATCAATCTAGTTTTCAGTAACCGTAACTCCTAGATATCTAACAGCAGATAGTTATTTAATTTCCGCTCCTCCAATAGAATACTTAAGAAAATACTCATTTCTTATTGCAAATCTGTAGAAAAAGAGCACTTGTTAATGTTCGGAGGCATTTGCCGATTCCCGCACCAGCTTAAAATTATTTCTGGGTTATTATTCAGTCTAGTGTGATCACCTTTTTTTAAATATTGTATTAGAATTATTGTATTAGGATGTATTAGAATAATCTCGGGATAAAAAAACGCTTGTAATGTTGTTAAGATATATATAAAAAATAAAATTGGCCCCAAAACCGAGCCCTGGGGCATTCTGACGTCACTGGTAAACTGTATGAAGGGCTGAAGGGTGAAGACGGTTGTTCAGGCATCATCTAATGAAGTCAATCAGCTTACAGTGAATTCCAATCCCGTAAAGATTCTGAAGAAGTTTGTTGGCTGCCACCTTATCAAAAGCGTTGGCGAAGTTCAAGAATACTGCATCCATCTGTTCCCTGTTATTATATTGGAAGTGCCAAGTCATAGCATGTTGCAGGTAGCAGCGTAACAATTCATAATCCGCCACCAAGTCCTTATTGAACGTTTGAAAACAAGTTTGTTTTCTTCTAAAAATTGGGAGACTTCGGGAAACTTAAAATTTGCAGGAAACCCTACGTTTCGTCAAGATAACGTTTCTCGGCCTTCTTCCGCGGAAAGCCGCGTTCGAGCGGCGTTTAAAACGTACAAACCACAAAAAGTTTGGACTCCCAACACCAGGGGAAGATCAAGTTTCGCCTTTACTCCCCGAGATGGCGCCACGAGTCCCTACACGCGTCGCTCTAGTCGGCTTTCAAACAGTTCGAGGGCTTTTCCTCTCTCTCACGATTCTACCAATGGCGGACGAGAAGACGCCCTCAAACCGGACCGTAAACTCCGCCTACACTGAGGGAAACCCGGACGTGGGCAGAAACCGGAGAGATCGCGCAAAAAAGTTTCGCGCCGGTGCGTGTAGCAGGTTGTCGTTGGTTAGCGTTGCGTTGTGGGTAGATACCGTAGTGCTGCTTCGCAACCCAGCGCTGATGTCTTCCATGTTGAGGTGAAATCCGTTCTCAACGGCGCGGAGTGTGTCCCACTGATGGCGGAGTGCCCGTGGAAAGCTTCGACGCGGCGGACCTGCTGACGAGGTCGACTATGGAATGCAACAGCCCTGGAATTGGACTTCGGAAGTGCGCCGACGGCCACTTCGTTCGGTGCGTCGCGTTGTGTCTGATCTTCACCTGTGGACATTTGGTCGCCGGCTACGACGCTGGATGCGACTGGGATGGCAGGTTGGTTGACGTTTTCTTTAGCATCGTCACGAAAGCGACTAGCGTCGATCATTGTTTCAACTAACCAAACTACAACAACGTTATCTTTGCAGTTAAACACACTGATCGCGCATTGAGTACTCGTTGAAACCATGACCTTTACACTACCTGAAAACAATGCACTGTGAAGAAAGAAATTTGCAAAGCGTTTTATGTAGTACACGACGTCTTTTTATTGCTGCAGCATAATGTGTTTTCATTGCAGTAGTATAACGGTCCTTTGGTGATTAGTTGTAAGAGTTCTATTTAGGCATATTTAAAAACGAAATAGCAAATGAATATTTCAAGCTGCAATGAAGCGACGATAACAAGTTATTAAATTCTACTGACCCAAAATCCTTCATAGCATAAGACAAACTGCAGAGCGTTTAATCGAATACTATACAACGTACACGATAACTTGTCGGATCTACTACGTATATCAATAAAGAAATGGAGGCGCTAAAACTCGTAGTGGAAAAGCGATAAGTGCGTGTTCATAGATTTTGCTTCTGTCGTCTTACAAAACAGTCCTAATGAAGGTCTGACTCTGGCCGAAGTGCGTCGTCTACCAATTCGCGATAAAACTCCACTAAAAGCTTTGGAGCACGTTCACTCTCTTAAAAGGACGTGCTTTTGTGACGTCTGTATAAGAAACACTGTGTTTTTATTTCATAAGCTGTGCGGGAGTATACATCACACGAAAACGGCGCAATGAAAGCCTCGATTGAAAACTGGTCTGATTGGGCCTGGTCGCGTTCGTCAATCTTTTCAGAAACCGGCCGCGTCCAAAACTTCCAAAGCTGTTGCCAATTTACGCGGCAGGAGTCATTCTGCAAGGACCAAAAAACTGTGCCAGCTTTCCGAACCCTGGAACACACAGTGAGATATAATTACAGCGTGGTACGTAAACCACTAGTACGTTTGAAAGGCAGCTCTGTGTACCGGGTAACTTCTCTGCGAAACACCCTGCAAGTTCCGTCCACGGTGCTGCGCGGGAAAGCAGACTTATCTTCGGAGTATTAAATCGTATGACACTGCTTGTTAGGCGTCGTCGAAACTATTTCTTTCAACCAAAACGTTTGAAGTGCAACTCAATAACGAGTTCCTGTCGAGCGATACACCCTTCAAGTTCAGTCCCCGATGCAGCGCGAGAGTGCAGACTATCTTCTGCAACCAGTACGTTTGAAAGACATCGCAATACCGGGTAATTTTTAAACGATACACCGTGTAAGTTACAACCCGATGCTGCAACGCGAAAGAGCAGACTGTCTCCAGAGTAAACATCATATGTTAGGCGTCGTGCGTTCGACAATATTTCCTCGCAGAGCATGTCCAAGCTACAACCGTGATGCAATTATTGCTTGCCGTCGACTCAGCTGCACAAGGCGAACCACTCGGGGCGAACGTACATAAAAAAAGTGGAACGAAAAAAAAAAAGCGTTCTTGAAACGAGCTTGGCAAGTGCAACTCCGCTGGCTGCTGCGTGGCTGCGTCTTGGCCGACTTCGGTCGACGGCGCCTGGTGGATGATAACGCGCCGAGGACGCCGGCTATGCAAACCTCCCACATCCACAAGAAGACCTGTTTGCAGAAAGTATAGAAAAAGAGAGGAGAAAAAAAAAAAACACGAAAACCTAGCACGGAACTTTGCTCGCCGATCTTTTGATCCCTTGACGAAGAGTATATATGTGATGATGGCATTCGAGACGCTGATAAACCTGGAGACGGGGAGAAATAGAATGGTATTCCACGTTTTGAGTTTTATTTTGCAGATAGTCTATTGCACGCTCGGGCGGTCACATTGCTAATATACATCATACAGAAAACAGTCTGGGAGACAGTGTCTCAGGCGTGTTTCTTTCTTGTGTGACGGTACTCTTACATTTGGTCATGCAAAAACTCTTTGCAGACGTTTCTGCTAGAGGCTAGGTTTCGCAAGCTACCGCCCATTACAAAGGGCAGACAGCCATTAGCATCCATCCATCCGCGTGTTCGAAGCATACATATGTATGCTGAAGCTCACACTTGAGGCGAATCCGCAGAAAATTCCGTCTTCGTGTGTTTAGCAGAACACAGTGTCCTTTGTACGATGGCTGAACAGCGTGACTGCAGCTTTAAACATTACTATTTTTTTTATATTTGCTTTAATGCATTACCGTTTCACCCGTTTTTACTTTCTCCGAACGTGAAGACAAGGAACGAATGAAGCGAGGTGAAATGTAGATATCTGTACAGGATGAATTTTCTACACGGTACCATTTGCAAGAACCAAAGCACGCGGTGAAATGTCCCATCTCTTGCATCTCTTGCCATGATGGATCTTCGCGCGAATTTTCCCCGCGTCCTCCGCGCCAATGCGTCTTTGCCCATTTGGAAGTCCCGTTCGATTCACTTCCGCGTATCCTCCGTTCCCGGTGGCCATTTGAGATCGTTCCCACTTGTTCTAAAAACAAATCTGGCGGTGCGAAATGCATGGCTCAGAATGTGCGCTATTATTAGCGAGGCCATCGCGATGGCCTCTGATTTATACCGTCAGTACAAGCCAGGTCTATTTATTGCTCTGAAATTCTTATGAAGGTACTGTACAGTCGCCCACAATGTGAAAGACCAAATCGGATTATGTGGCGGTTCTAAGCATGCTTTGGTCAGAGACACTTATATTTTTATTTTTAAAGGAAGAATACTACAAAGGTTTATCTATGTCTTCACCCCAATCAGTGTAAGCGTGCCCAATGCATATCCAGCACAGCAGCAAAACACTTCCTTGTCGAATGGGTCTTTCATATTCTTGAAGATTGTATATACATGAAAAGATGCAGTAGCGTTCTCGTGACGCTGTGCTTTTAACAATTCAGTTCTCGTAAACTGAAAAAAAAAAAAAAAAAAAAACAATCACCGGTGATTTTCTGTTTTTTTTTTCTCTTATAATTGAAAGGTCATTATTCAAACTACTTTTCCGGTGGAATGTGCATGCTCATTCTGGTGAACTTTAGTGTTCATCCCTACCCTGTTTACCAAAATGCAAAAAAAAAAAAAAAAGGGCTCGTGTTGGTTTGGTTTCTAGGGTAGGTGGCGCAAGCTACCGCCCGTTATAGAGGGTATAGCCTTTTGTATCCATCCATCCATCTGGCACTAACTGTGTCACGCAGTGAAGTTGTATTGTCGTTTTCCCTAAAGACGCTAAATAAACCATGTTCATACGCTGTTTCATACTTAGCGTGCAACGCTGTCAAAGGTACTGGCGCGAGCGCGTGGCTTCATCTATAGTTTTATTTACGCGAGAACTCGTGCAAATGATCAACGAGATCGAGCCCCACGCTTGCGCCAGTAGCTTTGACAGCGTTGCACGCTAAGTATGAAACAGAGTATAGAGTATTGACACTCCAGCATTTCCCGATTTTCTTGTGAGCTACGCCATTTTGATACTTATCTGCAAAGCGGGCGCCGCTGGCTGGCGATCGTTATACGATTCGAAAAAGCGACTTCCCGAGCATTAGATACGGTGTTGTGACCTGTTCTAATATTAAGGAGTTTTAGCGAGTCGTTTCTCCACGAACAGTTCGTCCTCGAACACATCGGCGCCTTCACTGCGCATGTGCGCGCGAATCTTTCGAGGCTTCCGGAAGTTCTTCTTGTTCGTGTCTCCCACTCCTGCCGCTGGAGTCGTCACCGGAACGCAGCCAGGACAGTTCACGGCTCGGGTAAAAAAAATATGGCGGTAGGTTTGCTCGCCGCCCCAACCGAGCGTTAGGCTTAGGACAGTTGAAGGCGATTTGCCATCATGTTACTCTGCTTCATGTGAGAGGTTGAACCAAATCAAATTGAGGACGGTTCACAATGGTAAGCGATCGCAAATGCTGTAAACTACGCATGCTGACTAGCTGCCGTGGCGACCGCGAGCAGACGAAATGGTTTGGTTCGACGGAATACAACGTGAACGATCGTTGAAGTTGAGGGTGACGGAGGCACACCACCTACCTTCGCGGTCGTTCGGACACTTTTTACTCTATCTAGCTTCGCAGGTCTTGCAATTCGGACCGGTAAATGTTACGTCGGCCGTCTTCTTTACATCAGCCGCACGCCGGAAACATGAGCCGCCACGGTTTTGCACGCTGCAGAATGCACGTTGCAGAATGTTTAATACGTTTACTAGAAGATGGCGCTGCAGGTCAAACGCAATCATCATCATCGTTTACACGGTTGCGCCAGTTTAACATATTTGCAGAAATATGTTAAATTTCAGGTCAAACTTTCCATGTAGGATTGTTTCATTGTCACTCCTTGAAAGCCGAGACCAAAAACGTGATGCATCAAACTTAAAGTGAAAAAAAAAAAAAAAAAAACTAAATTTGGTTTTGATATCTTTTCTAAAACGTTAATCCGAGCGATCAAAATATTTTAAATTTGGTTTTGATATTTTTCCTAGGTATTTCATCCGAGGATTCCAACTGCCGTTATCTCCTTTTGCAACATAAGAACGGACAGAAAGGCACGGCCCCTAAATTCCACAAAAGGCTCGGTGAATTCTGAGAGAAATGACGTCAGAACATGTCACCCACTACGAACGCTCCATTCTTTTGACGTCACAGGGGGGGGGGGGGGGGGGGAGCATCTGCCAGCACCCCCTTTTCTTTTCCAAGATTAGCACGTACAAAAACTCCGACTGATGCCCCAGTACGTCTCGACTCATTGAATATTGCGCTAAACTTTCTCTTCATTTCTTTTTTATAGGCAGTGTATTTTTTACACTCCTCATGCTGCAACGTACTATAGTCACATGACCAGGACTTGCCGTTCCACTACTTTTACTCAAAGGAATTTTGATGGCGGATCCTCGTAATTCATTCGTTAAAAAAAAAAAAAAAAAAAAGATAACTACCGTTTTTTTGTTTTGTTTTTTGCCCGGCCAGGAAGCCGCGCCTTGTCGAAATATGCGCTTCTTCGCCGTTCCACCTTACGGTGGACCACAACGAACGCTAC